GCATGGCTTTGTGGCATTGTATCCCATAGTTAATTATTGTTATTATTATTTTTGGGCTGTGCTGGCTACAGCTGCAGTTTCTGGCGCTCTGGTCAGTGCGGTCATCCAGTGTCGAAACTAAATACTAAACAGATTTAATAAAGCCTCCAAGCTTTTGAGTTGGCAAATCAAGTTGTAGGCAAATGGGTTTTGCGGCTTTTCAACACTTGCTCTCACAATTACGGAAACAGCAAATAATTATTTATACGAGTGAATGTTCAACCAAAAAGCCTGTAGCTTCTCGCCTGGTCTGAGCATAATTGCCTGTGGCTTTGCTCTGTAAATTTTGTCATTGGTTTCTGTGGCCCCAAAACTGTCTGCACTTTATGCTGTACACACTGTACGCGCCTCTGACATATGCTTCTGGCATCTCTAGAATTTAAACATAAATATTTACTTAAATATTTGTGAGAAATTGTCAGCTAGAAATGTTAAGAGAGATACATTTAGAATAGACATAAATTTAAGGATCCGACTGAAAAATACATTGCTTAGTTATTATTCATTTTATTAACACTTTAATCGTTTAAACTTGGCCTTTAAGTGCTGCATTCTATTTATTGTAAATTACATCAATTAAATTACTGCCGTACTTTCAATTTAACTATCGATACTACTTATCAATGAGCTCCGACCAATCGAAGTTTATAAAATCTTTATCAGATTGAGTTTGTCTAGCCACGTTCCTATGTGAACGCATCTACGCGTGAATCTGGAAATCATTTCTAAAAGTTGAACTTTGAATTTGACTTTGAAATAATATGAAATAAATTGATCTTATCCAACTGGATAAATATGGAGCAAATATTGTATGCATACTGATTCAATCGTATCATGTGCCGATCACAAACTCTTCCATTCAGAACGTTACATATTAAGTGACCAAATTTCAATGCCGTTCATTAGGGTATAGACATAAACAAACAAAGTCCGTGCGACTCATAAAAATAAAGCTACAACTTCGATTCCAACAAAGTTTTTTGTTTTATATTAGATTTAACTGAACTTGTTCTCGCTGCTATTGCGTGCACCACTTTAAAGGCTCCGTCTCCCCCAACAAGCAACAACAATACGGGCAATATAATTCTAATGCTTAAGCAAAAGTTTAAGCAAATAAAAAATGTGTACAGTGTATGTACAAGGTTAAAGTCTCAGGTAAACAACTTTTTGTGGAGAGTGCGAGCGTTGAGGGCCGCCTTTCAATTTAATGCTTCGTTACCTTTTTTGGAGCAAATTTTCAAGAGGCGAAAAGCTTTCTAGGAACAAGTTTTAAGTGTCCTAACAAAAAGGCATACGAAAAGAAATTGAGCTACCCGAAAAATATGTGAGCCTTTTATTGTCAAGGACTTGCGAGAACAATCCAGAAAACAATAACTAGAAGATTTATTGCATGACTACCTTTCTTTTTACTTTTTTGCTTGGCGCTTTCGTGTAGGGGATTATATTTTAAACGTTTTTAATAATATGAGCTCGGAACACAAAGTTATGTGGATAGATTCCTGATATAATGAAAGATATAAATGGTAAATTGTGATCTTCCCATTTGTTGCGGATGAAATTTCCCAAATCGCTGACATTTTTCTTATGTAGAGCTTTGAAAATAGCTATGATACAAATCGGACAAAACTTAGCCCAAAAAATCTTTGCAATGCACTTTTCACCGAGAAGCTTGTGCTCTGAGAAAAGTATGAAATACGACTCAAATGAGTATTTCATTCGCTTGGTAGAGATCAGAAAGCACTTATCGAATTCAGCGCAAAATAAAACATAGTAAATTGAAAAAATAATAATAATTTTTATAAATTTATCAGTTTCTGACCCATTTCATATAATCTAGTTCATCAGATATTATTGCATAACTATAACCAAAAATATAGTATTTTTAATTTTAGAATAATTCGAAACAGCTTTAGGCCACATTTTTAGCACAAAGGCAAAAATTGAGCAAACTAAATTAAATTTTTATTAAAGTAGCATGTGCCTAATGATGCCTTATGATTAATCTTATCTTTTTATTACTCTAAGCCAGCTGCTAACCGAAACACTTTACATTAATGCCTCAGTGTATCCCGCAATATTCATTCGTTTGCCTGTTTCAGTTGTGACATTAGCTTGATAACTCCTTTAAGCAATTATTATTTAAACAATGTCATTTAAACGAATTTGCATGCATAATTAGACTCTTCGCCAGCCTTTATGCTCCCTCTGTACTGACCCCATACTCTACTTCGCTTGTCACCATCACCCCGGGGTTCTGATGCATGTGTGACATAAACGCAAACCGCCGACCAAGTAGCTTATTACAGTGGGTGGGCCACGCCCACCGCTTAAAATGAAATCAAGGCAGTTGGAGAATAGATAACTCTTGAAGTAAGAAATTCCGTTCAGCAGCATTTGTTTCTTTGGACCTAAGAGTCAATGTAAAGTATGTTGACAAAACTTGTTTCTTCCCAATTAGATTATTGTAAAAATTAAATTTTAAAAGCATAATTAGTATACACAATTTTCTAATAGCTTCACTGACCGAAGGATGTGAATAGAAAACTTGCTTAGTGTTTTTTTTATAAATATATTCTTTAAGTTTATACTTCATATAAAATGAGTTCATTGTACAATGTTGTTTACCATTTTTTAAGCTGATTCCAGTATTTGCACAATGTTCCTTTTGTGAGCAGCTTTCTTTTCCGTAAACGCTATTTTTCCCTATCTGTTTATTTTTGTTTCATGAAACTTGCCTCAGAAGTGTATAACCATTAAATCTGCTGCCTTTGCTGCAGACGCTTTTGTTCTCCATTTGATGCACGGCTTTTTGAATTCATATTTATGATTCGTCCTATGCCGTTAGCCAACTTTGAATTGGGCTCATTTGGCCAACGGGCTCAATTAAGTTTTTCTCTTGTATCGAAGGGATGTTCTTCCATTAACCGATTAGCTATCTCTTTTCTTTTTTGCAATAATTCAGAGCGGGCAGCCGCAATCATGAAAACTTGAAAAAGCCCTTTTGGGCAGAGACTCCACTAGCAGCTACCACATTTTGTGCTTGCATAATCCAGGCCAAATGCACTTATTGGCATCTTCGCTCTTGTTGAAACAAAACTGTTAAGGTTCTCATCTCGCTGCTTGATTACCTAATGAACTTGGCTAAGGGAAGTTAAGCCTGTTTAGCCCCGACTTGGCTTCACTGTTTCGGCTTGCTTAACACTTGGCTGCGTCGAAGCAAGTCAAGCGTCCTACATCACTTGGCCAAGTTAACCTGTAACAAAGCACGCACTGCTTGCCTTTTCATAAGTAATTGGGTTAAATCGGGTTTCAGTTAATTAATATGAATTATAAATTGTTACCTCAATAATTTTGAGGAATGTTATGTTTTCTACATTGAGCATAGTTTCAAACTTCTACATTTATATAAAAACACATTCTCCGAGCATTTAATGAAGACGTTCTGGTTTTCGCAAACTGAAAAAAATTGTATTTGGGTTTTATTACAACAAAAATGCTATCTTGTGGCTAGCAAATTAACTACTTTATGAGCAAATGCAAATTTAATTTGATGGGTTTCAGAATAATCATTTCAATTTTGCCGATACAGTGAAAAAAATCCAAAAAATACACATTAAAAAGATGTTAATTTTTGTACCATTTTAAAGCATGCTTCAAAACTTTTAAAATTTTTGCACCGTTTTCAAGTTAAACTGCATAAAAATGGTCTCTTAATAAAAAATGTAGAAAAAGTTTACATCACATAAAAAGCTTTAGCCCCTCGGTTATAAATAGCATCGATTGCGGCAGCTGCCAAATTTCCTCCCGTTTTTGAGCATTAATGGATAAGGTGTCAATAAAGAAAAAAGTAGCTTCAGTTTTTGTGCCCTGCCGCGAACATCAGCATTCACTCATCAGACCTTGGGGAAGGGGATGGGCTACGAAAGAAAGGGAAGAGAGTAGAGAAGGGACACTGTGGTAGATCTACATTAACATCCTTCGCGTTGTCATTGATGAATTTAACTTTTAGCTGTCAGCGCTTTTTTGCTGTTCCAGTTTTATACCTTAGCAGAGGGTATTATTATTTTCCGGAAATGTTAAAGCACTGAAAAGAGCAAATCCTATCCTTTTAGATATATAGAATATAGGAAGCTTAGGCAATGTTATAAGTTTTAGATAATTTATTTATGAATAAAATTATCTTTCGTAGTTTTTGCCCAGACTCCAGTCTATACCTATGTAAAAGTTCTGATACAGTAATGATGCATTTGAAAATTGAGTCTGTGCAGAAACTCCTCCTTCTAGTGGGTTAGTTAGGTTAAGCTTAAGTTTCAATTAATCCCCAGAAATCTTGTTCCACTACTAATTTTCATTTAATAAAATCAAAAGGTATGTAATAAACGTTAAACATAAAGTTTTTCGTAACTTACTTGTATCAATTTGTATTTGGTAGATTTTCTATAATATTTTGATTTGATATGCTATTAAGGATATTCATAATTCGTCATGTGGATGCTAAAATTTCTCTTTCGTTTTTGTTCGCATTTTTCCTTTGGCTTTGTCTTGTTGTCATTTTTAATATGTATGCCATTTGCCATAGATATGTGGGTATTGAGATACTTTTTTGTAACTTTTTCGGGCCATATTTCAACGTAAGGGCAACTCGGGACAACTGCCCGTTTTCCGGTTCCATTCGGTTGCCATTAGCCATTAAATGGCAGCCATTTCGGATGGATGCGGGGGTAGGCCATTTGCCTTTTGTCCGTCTCCTATTGCTGGCTGTCCCTACAAAGCATTTTCGTAATTATGCTCTTAAAAGTTGCATAAAAAACTGTCCTTAAAAATGTTAAGTTGTTTTCGCATTGGGTAGAAATTGCAAAACTCCCAACTTAAATATGGGGTTTTGTGTGGTAAAATTTTCTTATGCATTTTTAATGTGATGCGTACATTTTTAATGAATTCTTTCCTATCTCTTCTTACAGCGCCAATTAATTGAAATTGTGTTTTTTAAGGTAAGTGCAGCAATTATTTTAATTGGCATTATTTGCTTTTTTGTGAAATATGCAAATTGGCAAAAAAAAAAAAATAGTTGAACAAAAAGGTTTTGGTTTAATTGTAGAAATCTAATTTTTTTGCTTTATTTTTCTAATTTCTGAATGTTTTGCAGGCGTTTAGTTTAAGTAGCTCCCTAAATTCGGTATAAAATGGTCATGCAAATTATAAAATTTTAGTTTTTCATTCATTAATGTGCTGCCAGCTCATTAGCATTGCCTTTACCGTGCCCTCCCCTACCCTTCCTTTGACCACAAAAAAACACTAACTCGGCAAATTTTCTTGGCCGAAATCAAAATTTTAATTGCACACGGAAAATATAACGCCACAGAATATGCAACGCTTTTCGCCTAATTGCAACCGCCTGGCACTAAATTGGTCCCTGGTCCAATGAAGCATGCCGCATGCCCTGTCCTGCTACCAGGCAACCCAGTCCATAACCATAGCTCCTTCTGCGCATCAAGTGCAGCCGTCGGTGGAGAAGAAATCGCAGCGTCAAACGCAAACCCGAAATGTAATTTAAAATTTTTGTGCGATGCTGGCACGACATTTACCTCAATTTCGATTTGAATAGACTTACCAGGAAAGGGTATTTTATTGAAAAAGGTATCAGTGAAGCCATAGGACAAGACTGAAGTGAACAGCCACAGATTTATGTATATTGGTGATGTAAGTTGGGCCCTATCATTGCTAGTTCTCGGAAACGGATACAAGAATAGTATCTTCAACTTATTATAGCCTAATATTCGATATATCTCGAATTCCTCTAGCCCACTGCGCTATCAAGTCATTTTAATTGCAAACATCAATAATATTAAATTATCTTTTTGCATTCAACATGTTTTTGTTTGCAATCAAATCTTATATAAAAAAAATGTGTGTAATATGTAGTGTATTCAAGGTTCGGCATCAGAACAAATAACTTTAACATTATTTTGCCGCATGTCCTCTATCGTTTTGCCTTCAGGCTGTTCGTTGATTAAGCGCCGCAAATTATGCTAACAAAACCGTGAGCTAAGTTTTGATGCAGTTTGATTGGATTTTTGGCATTAACGTGCCAAATGCGAAATCTGCGAGTTGGCCGAAAAGGGGAATCGTTTAGCGTGCGTGTGCGAGTATGTGCGGGCTTGTGTGTGTGTTTGCTTATAAATATATGCCTTTTGGACTTTAACGAAAAGAAGCTAACTTTCAGCTCAAGCTTAATTAACAGTTCAAATAGCTGGTCATAGCTCAATTAAGCAAGCACAGAAAGTAGAACAGAAGGGAGGGAGTAAGCTAGGCGGGTAGAAAGGTGCTAAAGTAATTAAGAGGGGGGTTTCCACGCAGTTGAATCGCCTTACGCACGTATTGCTTTGCCCCTTTTGTGGGAAGCCGTATATTTCCTTTTCGCCCCAACCCCAACGCAGTGGTGCGTTGCACAACAGAAAGGCAAAGCAGTGATGTGGGCATGGTTGGGGCGGGGTAGAAGGGTGTTGCACTTGTTGCCATCAAGTTGCAAGTGGCAACTTTGACAGCGTTAATTTACATGCCTGGCCTTCAGTTTTCCGACCAAAAGAGTTCCTGTTAAGCCCTCTCCAAGCACCTCTGTACAAACACACACTCATACACACATACGCGCTCGCGCACACGTAATTAATGCGTTTGTGTGCGCGATAACATCGATCTGCATGTGTGTGCGTATGTGTAAGTGTGTGGTTGTATTTGCCAGCATTGAAAATTCCGAAGGGCTGCACGTTTTGCGTGGTATTTGCTGATTCGATTAGAAGTTGAAGATGAAAAAATTTGCCTATGCAAATTTTTGTTTGTGTGCGTGTGTGTGTGTGCATTGCGTACCAGGTTAAACTTAAAGGTGCAAGGGCTAATAAATTTCGCATTTGAATTGAGATGGAATTTGAGACTCAACTGGTTAGTCTTGTGATATATTTAGAAACTTTTTAGAACTTTTTCTTGAAGAGTCGAAATTAGAACTGGAAGATTTATATTTATATTTTATATTTTAAAGTTGGGATATAATTGGGGTAGAAATTATTTAGTGATTGTGGTTGTCTTTTGTGCCCTACCAGATGATACTTGGGATCTCTGAACTGGTTTTAAAAACATTCGTACTTATTTATAACAGAGCTGCGTACTTAACAATTAAGTGTTCTCTAGTCGGTCGGGAATGGCCCGATACCCTGAAGCCAGCTCCAAGCTACATTTACAAACATTCTCGCTTCCTCCCATAAATATATACATAAAATCACATTCCCACACGCACAGTAGTTCTTATTGTGGCTTGAAATATGCGTATATTCTCAATTGCCTTCGTTCCACTTGCAAGTTTCATTTATTTGATTTTGCACGATGGTGATTTGATTGATGTTTAATTTGTGAAGAGCTATAAGCCAAATTGGTTCCTTTTAACCTATTCCTATTCCATAACCAATGAGAAGAGGGGAAAGGAAAGTGGAAAGGGGAAAAGAAGACATCCATGCGTTTCGTATTTATTTTGTTAAATTTATCCATCTCCCAAATAAGTTATTTAGCTCTCAAACAGTAGAGTTTAAGTGCATGTTAACTTTTTGATCTCTCGCACAGTTTTATAGCCTCTTTTAATGCTGCTCTTAGCGGTTGTACAAATTGTGCTGCTTATTTAATTGATTTAAACTGTGGTTACATAATGCTTCAAAACAGAGCAAAAACAACATATCCACACATACCAACACAGAGGCGTATGCCCTGGCACCACACGTACTACGAGCTGTAGACCACCCCGCATATCCCCTCTCGAAAGCACGCCCACAATTTTGACACGACCCCGCATAAATTGATGTACGCTCTTGCTGTGCCATTGATAGCCTATTGGGAGGTTGCACTGTTTCAGGGGGTAGACCATGGTGTTAGAGGGCTTATAGCGGATGGCATGCCGCTTTGAATGGTGCCGTATGAATAGATATCCATTTAAGCGCTGGTCATGTTGCTGGTCACAGCTGTGCGAGCTTAAATTGACCCAACAACCACCGCAGACAACAAACAATTGCCAATTTAATTGTTGCTGTCCGAGGGATGCGTCTCCAACTACCCTCTTCTGCCACCCCACGGCCGCATTCATCTCGCCCTCTTATGTCACCAAGGGTGTAAAAGGTGCTATGCTTCAATTTGCATAAAAAGGTCAACCCATTGCTGCCCCCCTTTTGGAACAAACCAACTGTTGCTGATGCCCCACCACTCTTAATTTTTAATTGCGGCTCGATTTCCATGCGTTTATTAAATTTTCTAATATTTACGCACAATCCGCTTCGGGGCGAAAGGTACATGACACGCGATCGCTTATTTTTATAAAAGTTTTGGTATTTCTGTGGCAAGCCCAACTATCAAAATGTTGGTTTATTATGTATTAAAAAATTAGAATTGATTGACAAGCAGGCAGTCTGTGGGCTACTTGACAGTTTATTAATTACATTAAGTTATATTTGGTTGGGAGAATCAAATGAAAATAAATTTTGGACCACGCGTAATTTCTGTAGCCTACTTTTAGGCACTCCATTTTATTTAATTTTATCGTATATTATATATTTAAATATATCGTATATCTTGATAATAACAAAAAAATAAAAATAAAGCAATTTTAAGCTAAAGACGACTTTGATGAATTAAATGTACACTTTTGAGGAAGATTTCTGAAGATTTCTGAACGTATAAAATTTAATATATTATTTTCTCTTATTATTTCTAAGTAAAGAAGATTATAAAAAGCGGTCTTACTTATTTTATTTATTAAAATGTGTCTCTTATGCTATGTTCATATCGATTGACGCACGCAAGTTCGCATTATTTTTACATAATACCCTGCTTAGGTATGAATGCGTGGGCGTGTCTGTGCATTTACTCAAGCGTCTATCCAATTGCTGAGTTTGACACACAAAAAAAATAAATAAAATAAAACAAAAAAAAGAACAAAAAAGGTCGAGTTGTGTTGGGCAACCCTTGAAACATTTAATTTCCTTTTTGCATTACTTTTCTGGGCTTGCTGCTTCAATAATTTAATTTCGTAATTGAACGATCTGATGAACCTATGCTGCCTGGTTGAGAACCCCCTTTGCCCAGCAATTTCCATTGCCACTTGACTTGGCTCTTGTGTAACAAGCAGCAATTTAATTGAAAATTTATCAGTTTCACATTTCATTTGCATATGTGCAGTATTTCCTCCTACTACACACACCCACACGGACACACAACCACACTCCTACTCCCACACACAAACACATAGGTCAGGGTATACTCTACGTTTCCAATTTGCATCGTTGACATTTTTAGTACATTTGAATGGGAGATCCTTGTGTGTGACCCTCATTGGTGCCAACAATTTCTCAAAGTGCGCACCTTACAAATATTTAGCCAAATACTATAGAACTGAAATTGTTGTTATTTTCTAACTTCTCGGCCAAAAAAGCCGGCTATATTATTTGCTCTTGAACTATACATATTTCTGTTAATTAATTTGGGCTCATATATTTGTATAATAGAATGAAGATGTTATTGAAATGTAATTTATTAAACTGGTTTATTGGACTTCTTGAAATAATAAAGCTCAGTGGAATAGATTGTATATGCCTTTTAAATGTAGAATATAACAGTTTTTTAAATATAAACAACGAATATGAAATAGCTGAAAGTCATCTCTTTAAAGAGCACTCCCACAATAAGCATTCTAATATTAAAGCATTGGCATTTCTGAGTGGCAGCTACTGCTAAATAGTTCTGTTTCTGAAGCAGTCACCTGTCACGGTACAGTCTAATTAAGCGATGGCTCAGAGAAATAGCAGACCAATGGTAGTTATAGATACTAGTTGGGTTCTGTTTCTAGTGTCCACTTATTGATTTTGTCTCTGAAACAGCGATAAATTAATTAAAATAAATGAGAATTTTGTTAACTTGAGCATAAGTTGTACGCATGTGTAAACAAAATGAAATGATTTTG